AATTAAAAAACTGCAAACAATTTACAAGCAGTACCTACCGCTTTGGAAGGTGCATAGTGCCAAACCAACAAAGACAAACACAAAACGATTCGACATGTTGCACTGGTCGAGTAGCCTCGGTTAGCTCGATCCACGTCAGTCTTGAGATGGCGCGTAGCTACACAGGACCCAACAGGATTACCTTTCTCCCAGTTTCAACTGAAAAGCTCAGGAGGAGCCTTTCTTGGTAACCTTAAAATATGAACGTGACAAATCCAAGCGTCTTAATAACGATTCGCTGTCTCTGTCATCGACAGCTGCATATATCAATGATACTTAAAATTAAAGGCAAGGCTGATCGAACAGCTAAGGCGTACAAATATATTTGCCAAATATTTCGACTAGACAAAACTAGTCTTCATCAGGGGCTGGAAAAGCTAAGTGAGAATAGAATACACGGTTACAGTATCAGGGTGCAAAGAAAGTCAGTTTTACAGCCTGCCATTCGGGCAAGCTATAGCTAGCATGTACTAGCCCACAAGTCAACTAGCCCCAAAACCCTTTTTGATTAGCAGGATTGATTACAATCCTTCTGTAATTTGAATTTTCCCCAAAAACAGCACTTGCCCGTCGGTCAAGCTAAGAACAAAAATCTCCAGCCCGACAGCAAAATCTACTGGCCCCGGGCTATCGGACACGACTTTCTTTGCATGCTGAGTATATAAAATAATACAAAAAATCAATGATTACTGGTTACTTCCCGTTCCGCACGATCAGTGTAGACTTCCTCTCGTGATTACTGATATATCAATGCGAAAATGCTAAACTGATACGGACATACCAGTCCTAGCGGTGCGCAGGATATTTCAGTGTCACCATGCAGTCTGACAGTACTTGCCCACTTTATACTGAGACAAGTGAGACACGTTAAGGAACAAGTAATGAACTTGCTTGAATTTTGCTGTCATTTTTAAACAAGTAGTTCATGCGTCAGCGTACGTATCGAGATATTGAGGACGCGGGAAGTGTGGAGAGCCAAGAGGTGTAAGAGTTGCTCGAGGCGCGGACGAGAGCTACTCTAGCCTGTTGAGTGCTCTCCAAACTTCCCAAGTGCTCAATATCTCGACATACGCACCGCTGAAGCATGAACTAATTGCTTTATAACATTATCAAATCGATCAATGCAGCAGTTCACTTAAATTTGTATTATTGTAGCGCACACTCTAAGCAGTACGCGTCAATATCTACATGACTATATTTTTTGACCTCACAGTTATGTTTTTGTGTTGAAACTGAGAGAAAGTTTACTCAAGTCGCTTAAGGTAACATTAAAACGGATTGTAAAATTCATATTGAGGTGACAGAAAACTATTAATTCACCGAAATAACTTTTCAAAGAATGAATTGCACACGTCATAGCCCGCAGCTCGAGCAGATGACTCACAACAACCGCAACAAACAAAAAGAAAAATGCACTTTATTTGAGTGTCAATGTATTTAGCACGAAAGTGCTAATTGGGGACACTATATTTTACGTCTCCTAATGGCTACGGGACTGACATTTTACGTGGTCATCCGAGTCACGCGAAGGTCTAGCCGCCTGCAGAGCAAAGGAAGTACTTTCATTTCTCGGTCATTTTAAGACCCTTAGTATTGGTCCGGCCTCGGGAATCGAAACCGCGACCTCCCGCTCTGCAGTCAAGCGCTCTACCGACTGAGCTAATCCTGCCGCTCACCTCTTTTTCCTACTATCGGTTAACAAATTCAAAAGTTGTATCTTAAATTTACGTTATAAAACACATTGTTTTCGCTTCATCGTGTACTGTTGAGTTATGGATGCACTTGGGAGACGTCATGGGAGGGTTGCTAAGCTCACAAGAACTCGAGGTATAGTTTATTGATGTCATCAGCGTGCTCAATGGGAATTTTTACAATAACTGAGCGAATCCTCGGGCGCTGATTGGTCGAGAGCTAAGGTCTATGAGAGTATGGACCATGGAAATGACGTAAAATTTTCAGAGAAATTTCGCAGGAAGCTAAACATAAATGTTATTGTAAAAAACAAATCCACCACAATCTTCCATTGTGTACACTTGTTCAAAACTTTGCAGTGAAACCACTCGCCTACGGCTCGTGGTTCCACTTGGGTTTTGAATATTTTATGAAGTCATTTCTATGGTCTTTTAGAGTGTAGACCGGCCGATTTGTTAAACGAAGCACGCTCGCGCGCTCGCTATCTATGTTATAAACATGCATGTTTTACAGATTTCAACTCATCAATCAGCCATATATCAGCTCCGGTAATAAGCGATTGTTGTTCACCTCGATGAGGTCATTTTCCTACCTCTACTTGAATTCTTCACACTGTTTTAGTTCCTTGTGCAAATTACACCCATTTTCAACCTTCTTACGGGAATACTTAAATTTAAAAATGCAAAAGGAAGTAACTTTTATTAATTTTAAAGTATATTCTGGTAGATGCATGTTTTGAATAACGAGCCCGTAAACTAGGCTTTGAACGCAGTCGTATTTCAGCCGTCCGGGTGTGTCGACCTGTTTCCCAATGACTATAAATAAACACCATTCAGTGAGCAAAATAAGGCGACCAACCACACACTAAAGAATACTGTGCTTGCGTTATTTAAGTAACTTCCCCGACTGAGGACAGCTCTTTTAGTTTCACTACTTGCTGCTCAGTATAGTTACGTCAGAAAAAAGTTCTTTCCACTGCCGCGCTGACATGTCTTTTATTCTTCTTGAGTCACTCGGTAGAAACGATAATGTTCGTAAAACGAATTCTCAAAATCTCAATGTCCAATTAATCCAATTAAACGCTTTTTAGTAGAACTTTCCTTTGGTCATGTAAAAAAATACTTGAGGTGTGCCCGTGAAGACAGCCGGGGCGGGGGGGGGTACTTCCTTACAAGAGGCTAATTGGAATGTGCCACTGAATGAATTTGCATTTTCAAGACCTGGATTGACTATAAATTGGGGTCTCCAAAATAACATCCGCGCAAAAGAGACTAAGATGTCTGTAACTGGTCGCAAAATAGACTATAATGGGGTAGGGGCTCTGAGAGGCCAGCGGCACATACCCAGCAATGAGTACATCAAGTAAGCAGCCACCTTTAAAGGTAAACAAATGTTATTGCTGTTGATGACATTACAGCTCTATTTACTACTTTTTTATCAGCTGGACAAATACTGTAATAAGTAGTCAGTTTGAAATATAATGCTCTTCAGGTTTCCTAGCAGTAATTCTTCAAATTTCTATAACATAACAACATAACATAACATGAACTTTATTTATACTAGAATTTCAGAGTAGCCTGAAAGGGTAATGTCTTTGAGAAAAAAAAAGAAAAGAAAGAAGTCTATTTACATACATAAAATAAATCTATTTAAATACATAAAAATATATAATACATACATGAAAAATGTTAAATATACCGTTATGTCTGAAAGGAGATTGCTTTCAGGAGTCTTCTAACACCAGAAGGTGTTACATTATTAGGTGTCACATTATTAGGTAGCGAGTTCCATTTCTTAGATGCAAGGCAACGAAAAGAGTTGAGGCCATAAGTAGTAGTAGCAGGTTTACATAGTGATAAAATATTAGCTCTTCTAGAAGAGTATACAGACTGACGCAAAGTAAGCATGTGCATGTCTTTAAGGTATTTAGAAAAACTTTCATAGTTCAAACATTTGTAGATGGTGATTAACATATTTTGTAAAGCTTATTCCTGGTGTGAAACAATAAACCCAAACTTATTCTCGGAATTATTTCAGAAGCCAGGGTAATTGACTAGCATCTTTCCAGAGATGGTTGATTCCAAAGACATTTTACGCACCAGCAACACGTAAAATCATATTTTTTGGAGCACACGTTCATTAATTTGCATTAGGCAGTTGGAACAGTATGGACCAGTCATTTAAACGGAGTTTAGGCCCCGTGCTGTCAACTCCCCCGTATAATCCGGGAAACTCATAGTTTGGACCGTATCTCCCGGTCTCCAGATTAGAGTATGAAATCTCCCAGATATTCACCGAAGATTGCCATTCAGTTGTAGACTCGACTTTCCGACCCTAAACTTTTAAATGTTTTGCGTTGTTTGAGCTATTTTACTGTTAACATGGAACCTTTCCTCATAAACTTCGGTATGGTATGCTATTGCAGCGTACCAAGAGATACGCAATAATGTTAAACATCGCAAAATCGTGACGATTTCGGGTCAACGAGTATCTCTTGCACAAATGACTTCTTATACCATGCGATATGAGGTCATCTATTATCCTTTCCCTATCAATTCTCAATATTTGAAGACGTAGGGAGTTGACAGCCCTGATTTAACCCGTGTTTAACAAAACTGCGTTCTAAGCTATTTTCAGTTTGCCCAACGCATTTGTCGTGTACAATTTCAATAAAGCATATAGTGTAGACTGGAAAAGCACTCATTTTCTTAAATTAGCCCACTAAGGAAGAGATATATATCTGGACGTTCAATGATTTCTTAGACCGCGGCCTAAGTTAGACTTCGTTTAAATAACCGGTCCTATGAGTTTAAAATATAATGTTCAGATGTTTATTTGACAAATCTCTTGAAAAAAAAATTCGCCGCTTTATCTTCTTCTTTCCTTGATTTTATAACCGCCATTTTTACATAGTCACTCGATCCGCGCGAAAGGCTGGGCAAAAACAGGGCAAATGCATTACTCTCATTTCCCAGTTATTTTAAGACCCTGATTCCTGCCACGGAGATCGAAACCGCGACCTCCTCCTTTGCAGTCATGCGCACTAGCGACTGCATTAGTTCTACCAGCAGTACATGTAGAAACTTTAAGGTTTAGCCCCGAGGCCAAGTATAAGTAAAATTCACATAAGACCAATGACAAGGCGAACTGCTTTACTCCAGAGATAGCAAACCTATCACACTATATAGATTCAAAAAAATATGGATAGGAACTTTAACTGAAGGTTTAGGATCAATTTAGGTTTTTGGAAAACTGACCACTTACCCCTTCCCTAGGGCAAAATTTTGCCTTAAGTGAGAAGTGTTAATGCTGACTTAGTGGAGGGGAGGGTAGTCTGTTAATTTCCCAGGAACCAGTAATCTATTGAAGTACACCAGTGTAGGCGCTTGCATTTGAGGCTGTTACTTCTTTTATTCACCACAGTCTGATACGTATCAGATCTGAATGCTAACGCTAGCTGCGCTAAGAGGAATTTAATCGGTCAGAAATAGACCTTCTTTTTAATACTCTTATTTTGACCTTACACCTGTACAACCTTTCTTAGACCGCTGTTTTAAAAGTAAATATACGTCTAAGCCTGTAATTGTTTATGATTTCTCAGAGAGGAAAGACCGTAAAATTGTCAGAAAAGTTTCTAATGCTAAAATCCACTTTTATCTATTATGCCACGTGTTAAACCGTCCAGTTACAATCTTAGGAAAGAAACTTGTTTTAAACGTAAGATTAATACTATGCGTTTTAAAAACTCTTTTATTGACCGTTTATTTTTTTAAACATGAATTAGCTATGTAATATACTAGATTTTTAATTCTTACCGTTTTACGTTTTTAAAATTTCTTATACTTACTTGTAACAAAAGATATGTATTTTTATCTTTTGATAAGTAAAGGCTTTATTATTATTATTATTATTGTCATTATTATTATTATTATTATTATTATTATTATTATAATTATTATAATTATTAGTATATCTATTATAGTAGTCTTAGGCCTGGTTCAAACGGCGAACGAACTAAACAACTGTTTAGGTTGACCCAAATGATACAAGTTCGATTTTTGATTCAGACGTCAAAATTTATTAGTCGGCCTCAATTCAGTTTCACGATGTACAATGGTCCACAATGCTTACCAGCAAAAAAAAATCATAATAATTTATGCTTTAGGTTCGTGCGGCACATGAGAAGTTCGACGTTTGAAACGAAGCCGCTCCACAGTCGAAATTCCCATGTAAGCCGCTCGATCTTAACTCATGGATCGACCCAAATAAAGTAAATGAGCTGATTAAAACGTCGACCTTTTCATGTAGGTTTGGTACCTGAAAGGTTAGACGTTTGAACTGGGCCCTAATTAATTCTTGCAAGAGTACTTAGTACACTGAAGAGTTTTAGTGAGAAAAATATTGTAAACATTTAAGGTTCAATAAAATTTTACTTGACGTACAATGTTGTAGTAATTTAGCATTTTACATAGTTATTAGATTAGACATAATAATTTTTCCTTGAATTCGTTCAAATGAGCCTGCTCGCGGGCTATTCCTAGTAGCTGATCTCACAGATAGTGTCGCACGTCGAGCCATTAAAATTTAGTGGCTCGAAAATGTAAATGGGTAGTTTCCTGTTGTTGAGTAACGACAATTGACGGGAAAAAAGACTGTAAAGACTCTGCACAATGCTCACAATAGGGACACTCAACGAGAACATAGTTCAAAACCACTTAAACATAGCATTGTAAAGCGTATTTTGGTATTGAAACGGTAGATATGGGCATATTTTTATCCCTAAAAATTTTTCATTTGTTCGGATTTCGTAGCTGAAAATCTAGTTTCCTGTTGTTGAGTAACGTGATTCGAAAATAGCATTGTAAAGCGTATTTTGGTATTGAAACGGTAGATATGGGCATATTTTTATCCCTAAAAATTTTTCATTTGTTCGGATTTCGTGAAGAAAAAGGATCGAAAATTATAAGGAAAACTTAGCTTTTCGAAAATTTCAGCCAGAAAAAGGCTCCTGAAAATTCTAGGTGACCTTTTTAGGGTAAAAATCCCTTTAAAATGGGCAATTATACCATTTTTTAGATGTTCGAAAATCCTAGGAGAGGAAGGCAAGCAAGAAATTTTACAACAAATGTTCCGAAAATTTCCAGATCTCGAATCGTCTTCCGAACAGATATTTTCCGAAAATTGACGTTGGGTGCCCCTGTCACAATACAGCACTAGAGCTTCCTATCAATAGCTTCCGCACCTCCAAGAAACACCCCATAAGCTCATGAAGTTTTTGTAACTTATTTTTCCGTTACTAGCTAGTGTTAGTTCTGACACCGTCATGGACACTGCCAGAAGATAATACGCTGGTCAATCACTTTTTCTTTTAGTAACAACAACAACAACAACAACAAAACAACTTTGCCAACAAAAAAATAGTCTGCGGTCAATGCCAAATCATTAACGTTACTCAAGCTGTTTAAACCAGCAGAATGTCAAGAAAATCAGGAAAGAAACGAGAAGAGGAAGCGACTGAATTTTTTCCCCCTCCGCTTTCAGCGGTTGGGCCCACACTTGTTGGGGCTTCAGTGGTTGGGCCTACACTGGTTGGGCCTCCAGTTGCTGGTGGCTGGTCGATCAGTTCCTGTACGTTACAGTTATTTGTATCGCAGCACCTTGCTTGGCAGGAGTTGATGGTGACCTTAACAGGCAATGAGGGCAATCTGCTCTGTGCATCCGAGCAAATTCGTTCTTGCGTGGTGGTACAGTTGAAAGTGGAAGGATCAGAGGAGTTCTAAAAGAACAAGAGGAAAGCAATCAGTTAGTGAGACTTGGATATCAAGCATCTTCGTTACTTTGCTAGCCGGGTGTAAAAAAGATGTTTTCGAGAGAAAAAGATGGTAAACGTTTCGCTTAGTAATTGATAAATGAAGGAGATTTAGAGATTCATATCTCGTGCGCAGGACAAAACAATAAGTTGAGTCGAGGCCCCATTTGTTCAAAAGGTAGATAACGCCATCCACTGACTAAATCTCTATCCACTGAAAAGCACAATCGGTTTCCCCAATACTTAAAATACTTATCTCGTGGATAGCGCTATCCAACGTTTGAACAACCAGGGCCAGGACCAGATTCGACAATTTAACCTTCACGAATATCATCTATCTTTACGAGTCTGGTCGAGTTTCCTCCTGGCTCAATGGGTGAAGCGCCCGTCCGGGTTTTGGGAGGTATTAGGCTGATTTAGCAACAGAACGGGAACGTCAGTTGACGAAGGCGCGCGCAAATTAAACAACTAGCTTGACCAATGGCAGAACGACAAATTGGGCACCGGAAGTCGTGTTCAGTCCTTTCCGCGCGCTTTCCCGTCGTCACCTGACGTTCTCAACCTGTTGCTAAATCAGCCTATTATAGCTAGGGTCCAAAACATATGTATGTGCTCAATAAAACTGTGACCTTTAAATCTTAGGCGAAAAATTTCAACGGGATTTATTGTTTGATGCTTGTTTGAATTTACAAAGATCAGAGTCTATTTTTTGGATCTTTTAATTATTCTTTCTGGAATTTACTTGAACTAAACTAAAACGACAGGTAACTGAAAAGTAAATAGCGCTTTAAAATTCCTCGGCAGGATTAGTTCAGTTTGTTAGAGTTCTGGCCCCGGCTGTTCAAATGATGGAAAGTGCTAACAAATGGAAAAAATCGCTATCAAGTGGATTAGTGTAGGGGAAACCAATTGCGCTATTCCAGTGGAGAGAGATTATCCGGTGATAGCGTTATCTAGCTACATTTTGATCTACTGAGGCCAGATTGAGAGATCTCGGGTTTTACTCCTGAGACCGGTCCAATACTCAACGTTTAGACAACGAAGGAAAAAGTTGCTGCTTTTTCTCTGCAAAGAGATAGACCCTTACGTGGCTTGGATGACCACGTAGAATTAGAGATCCCGTCAGTCGCGGACGTAGAAACAGTGTCCTCAATTCAGGGACCGCGGAGCCGGGGGTATCCCCCCCAAATAATTTTGCCGCCATTTTGAATGTTTCTATAAGTAATTATCATAAACAGCAAGTTGTCAAGCTCTTCGGCTGTAAAACATTTGTGTATGTTTATCGTGATTACGAATTATGTATTGCATGTATCAATATATTTTTGCATATATTAGTTAACCTTCTTTAAACGCCGATCCACCTGCAAATCAGATTCTGTGACGTTGGCTACTTTATTAAAATTTTTATTGTTATCACGGTTAGAAATGCCTTTTCTCATTAACACAATGAGCAAACTTTCATGAAATTGAATGCCATAAATATGTCGCAAATGCACCTCAAAGCGCTGGAAATCGCGTTTCCGAGAGTCTTTATTTCATAATTTCCTGAAGAAGAAAACCCCCAGACCCCGCTAATTTCTTTCGCCTTCGGCGGTCGTTAGCACCCCCCTCCTCCAATTCCATAGAAAGCTACGCCCATTTTACGCGTCGTCAAACGCGCACTCTAATGTGGATGGAGGAGCTGGTGTCCGTCTGAAAAAAATGTTCTTGAAACTAGTGTTGATGATCTTCCACCCAATGTTATCCTCCCCGCGAGAGGTTAACAGTCAGAGGTGCCCGCTTCACAAAAGTTGAACTCTTTTTTTTTTAACTTACCTTGACCGTACATTCATAGACATAGGCGGTGCCGCCTACGCTAGCCACTACCTTTCCTGAGGTGCAGGCGTCGAACGTAACATTTGGTGCGGGTGCAGTCTCGTTGTCACAGTTTACCTCTTTTATCTGTGAAGGAAGGTTGCAGCGTACTGGGGGACTAACGGAAGGGGTGCACTTTTTGCACATAATTCCTAAAACTGAAGGGAAAGGCGAAAGATTAAATTAAAAGAACACTGGTAATTAACGACAGCGAAAATCATTCTGAAGGTGAGGGGTTTGACTCTACTGTGGCGGGGAATCAGGGTACCATTTCAGCGTGCCCCCAACTTCTAGGGTTTCTAGTTATAAAGAAACTAAATTGAGCTAACACAGTTTTGATGTAAAACATTTTTTACGACGTTTAAATTCAAAATCAGTGGTGAAGTCGCACACGTATAGTATTCGGTAAAAAAGTCTTGTCAGCGACATATATATAGATGGTTTTCACAGTGACGTCATCAAAGTCAAAATAGCGAGATTTTAAGAATTCTTATTCACACTAGGTTGAAGATAAACAAAAAGTAAATCTTTGTACAAGTTTCCATTCCCGTAGCATGTTTCATTTCGAAAATACAGCAATTTGAACTTCCGAGTTTTCACAGTGCGTGACACCAAAATAGCAGTACAAACATTCCAAGTATTAGAAGATATTTTTATGCGCACGTATGCTAATTCTCGAGTGAAAAGAGGGAGCTTTTATAGAAAAAGTGAACTCCAGGCCCGGGTTGCTCGAAGCATGGTTAGTGCTAACCAGCGTTAAATAACATAGAAACCTATACATTTTGATACCTCTTAACCAACGGTTAGCGCTAACCAGGCTTCGAGCAACCGGCCCCTGATGTTTTGTTGATTTTCGGCGGCCATATTGGCGCACCAAAACTGTGCACCAATATGGCGTCTCCATACAAAGCTCTACAATGGTGCGTGAGACGTTTCGACAAATAAACTCTGAAATTGTGGGTCACAAAGACCTGGGTCTTGGACAAATTGTTTAAAAATCAGTCTTCTGTAACATTTCATTTTCTTCGCTTCTTCCACTGGACGGTGTCCAATTTATTTTTTTGTTGCGTGACAGTGAAAACGATCTATTGGTCGCTCTATAGACAGAAGCGGAAGTTTGGCAGGGGTTACAAATATTGCAATATTTCAGAGCGAAAAAGACTATCCTTGGGATTTGATTCTCCCTGTCTAGTGAAAGCTTGAAAATAACTTTCTTTTATAAAACCTCATTTGCAGCCGCTTGTTTATATTTTTGATGGTTACAGTTTTTATTTTAAAACCGTCTCATGAAAAAAATAAAAATAGCGTGCACCGGTGAAAAGAGATAAAATTTTCTGTTTCGCAGTGTCATCACCTGCACAATAATGATGAAGATCGAAGGCATTCCTCTACCTTCTGGTCCCTAAGGTTTTTCTTGGAAATTTTTTCCACCTGAGAGAGGACAAACCGCGCGCAAGCGGTAAAAAGTGTCGCAACTCGTTTCCGCCGTTTCCGGGGGGGGGAGGGGGTACTCAACAAATTTTTGTACGGGGAGGCTCCACCTATAGTTCCAGCCTTACCCTTTTATTTGCTATTTCTCAGGAAAAAGGTACCCCTTTCGTACACCTTCTACTGACAAAATGGAGCGTCTTTCACATACGTTGTTTATAACTTTGCATCCCTTTCAACTGCTGTACTTTTATATTAATGTATTGTCATTTAAATAGGACTTAGTCACAAAATAGAATGTTTTCCCGACTATATGAAGCCATAAAATTCATCTGTTCGGCCCTTTGGTTTCTCCTCCCCCTCCCATTTTTGCGCCTGCCGCGCAGGCTACCCTTTCACAGATCCAAATGACAGATTTCCCTACCCTTTCATATACTTCAACGAGTAAAATCCCTCCCCCGTTTCATATACCTGAAGCCTGAAAAAGGTACCCCTTTCGGGCGGAGCCCCCCCCCCGGTATAGGCCATGATAGGGAATACCCCCGGGGCCGCTTGGAAACTAGTTCTCTCTCCGGCAGGCCCGCGGAGAAAAGTTTCAAGGAAAACCTTTGGGATTAGGACACATCTATTCAGCCTCGACAAATGATAATTTTGGCTTAAAATTTTTGTTTTGAAACACAATATATAACTGCATTTAGAAAGTTTTCAGGATATTTATAGCATTTTTAAGATTTTTTAAAGAAAACAATTAGTCCCCTCCAAAAAATATTTGCTCTGGAACTTCTGTCGTTTGTTCTCCATTTTCATCAACTGAAATTTTGCTTGGCACATACTTTCAAATCGAGAATTTTTAGAAAGATTTTTGGCCAGTTTTAGCCTGCTAAATAAGGGTGTTCACGCAAATAGCGATATTTCTTGCTTGTAAACATTTTTATCGTTTTTCGAATGTGCTATGTACTGACACTCAATAGCCCGTTGCTTCAAGAGGCAATATTAGCCTCTTGTTAGAACCCGGTTGGCACATAAACTATGAAAGTGTGACTCAATAGTAAAATATCCCTATTATATTTGACGCTGTCGTAGTATATTGCGTGACGGACCTTTAGAAAACTTATGGGGGAGGGGGGCGGGCAAAGTACAAAAAAAATATTCGCGCAAGAGAAAATTAAATGAAAAAAATTCATGCACGCCAATTAACCCTAAAAAATATTCATGCTACGGCCTAAAAAAACTTCATACAAGGAATTTGATAACGATAAAAAATTCCTGCGCTCAAAAATTCCCCACCCCCAGCCCCATAACTTTTCTAATGGTCCGTTCCTAAATATGCGTTCTTCTGCCGCTCGCTAACCAACCGGTGATGGTATAAAAATAAATAAGAATGAGACAATAACTTTCTCATCAACTCTTCCACTGTTAGAGATCCTCTTGTAACCCGGTATGAACAAATCAGAGCCGTAGTTCCAACCAACTTTTGAGTGTGTCGATGAAGTCCATTATAAACGCCTGTTATTCAAGGGAAGGTTTGCTGAGTCTACTGACACTACATTTCCCATGGAAGTTTTTTTCTTGCAGTGTTTAATTTTAGTTTTTACAACCCCATTTATTTGTTTTCCACTTTTCTTGGAATTTGGTCTTGGCAACTATTAATATTAAGCACGCATTAAAGTCTAGAGCTCATTAAAAAAATGTTAATGAGATAAAAATGGTGTGACAACTCGTGCATGAAATCTTTGATTCCTTATTGGCTGACTCTGGGTGGTCTGATAATGTATTTCTACTGATTATGAAAATAACATACACCTGTTCGGTTTGTAGCTGACTGAAATTTCTCGTTTCCTTCGGCTTAAATTTAGAACTTGAAAATGGAATGCTGTGAGCGTGTGAGCTGAAGCTATAAGCAAGCATGAGGGCAAAGTACGAGTATTAAAAAACAAAAACAAAAGCAATAAAACGTTTTGGAATGATTTAATAATCAGTGAATAATAGCAAGCAAAACCAACTCTTGCAGACAACGTGACACATGGTATTCTCCTCAGTGAACATTTGAGTTCTTGCTGCAAAATTTTACTTATTATTCGTTTAAATTCGCCACTTTTCCTTTCATGTGATTAACTGCCGCTCAATATCAGTCGACTGTGACTATGTAAGTATAAAAATTCATGAAATCAGCGCGAACCTTGCAATCTCTAGGTAGAAAATATAGATTAATATAAAAATTAAAAATCAACGCGGACAAGAAATAAAAAGTACGACGTTTCGGTGCCATCTTGACGCCATTTTCAAATTCAAAATGCTTGCTGAGAAACTGTCAAGATGACACCTAAACATAACCTAAACGTCGTTCTTTCTTGTCCGCGTTGTTTTTTACTTGTTTCTCATAACTAAACCTTCGCTTATTAATATAAAAATTACTGAAAAAAGAAGAAAAGAAAAGAAATTGTCCTTGATTGTACTAAAATTCGAAACGTATTCGTTGATTTCATAACTAGCCTTGAAGTAAGCTGAAAATGCAGTTATAGACAATGTCTTACGCAGTTTGCATGATGACCGGCGTGACTCATACGTTCCTGAACAGAGCTGTAAAATAATACGATGAAAAATCTACTCACCACTTGGAAGAGAAACGACCATCAAGCAAGCTAAAATAAGATTGGCGCAATTCATAGTACAATCCTGAACTTTCTTGAAAAAAAAAAAGACTACGTTGAGAAAGTGATGTTGCGAGGCCTTTTCCTAGCTCTGTGACAACGAACGAATGCAGACAGCGCCTTGTTTTTTAATTTGTTTACGAGAAAGTGACCAGGGTGTGTATCAGATTTCCCGGATGATATAGTCACGTACACGAACGTGGGTTTGTCTGAGAGCACGAAATCGCTGAAAGGATTTTTGAATAACAATGATAATACGTTCAGGTGAACCGATATTTGTTGGCTTTACACCAGAAGGGATGTTAGTTTCAATTAAGCTTTTGATTCGAGCCCCGGGAGGGGGTGGGGGGAGGAGGGGGGTACTGAGCTATATAGGTATATGTCGCCCCATCGGGTAGGGTTTTTGCGCCGTTTTGGTCTGAAAACGGGTATACATTTTCCCCATTTTGGTCTTGAATCGGGTATGGTTTGGGGGGAACTACGGGAGTGTTTTTTTATTCAATTCTCAAATAATTTAACTCTATGTCCCACAATTAGCGGAGCTATTCTAGGTGTGCAACAATACAATAATGATTGTCTCCTATAAAGTCGGCAAAAAAACGTAAGTTAGGAGAAAGCAAAAATAAAATGAAATGAATAAATAAATAAATAAATAAAAGGTAGCACCTATAGATATAAGTGCATGAACGTATTTATCGTTTCAATTCCAAATGAGTAAGAAAGAAAGGGAAATATGTGAATTGGATCTTTTTGATGAATTTGTTTGTTTGCGCTCTAATCCGGTACGTATTGACAACATAAATTCTGCCTAAAGGCCAGGTCTGAAAACGGGTATGGATTTTAGAGGTCTGGTATGAAAATGGGTGCGGAAAATTGCATTTTTTGGTCTGAAATCGGGTCAGGATTTGGAGAATCGGGCGGCGCACCCCCACCAAGAATTCCCAGGAATACCCCCCCGGGGATTCAAGTGCCCTTGAAAATCTTAAGTTGCTTTGTAGAAAACACGGCTTCACACTCGTTTACAAAAAAGTATATTACTTAAAGTAAAAGCCTCCAATCTCTCCGTTCATTAGAATCTTGGAACCGCTGCACGTGCACATCGTGCGCATGGCTTACATTCTTATTATGGTCAAGTGTGTTCTCAAGTGTGGTGTAGCCCATACTTCGCGGCGAACTTTGGCTTCTTTAAACTACAAACTTTTCCATGGTAACCAAGTAAAGTTGAAGTAGGTACATTTTACCCCATCACACTCAAAACTAGGTTCCAAGTACACTTACATTATACTTGAGAGCTCTAGTGTGACGCCAATAATTGTTTTAATGTTCGGGTCTTAAGCATTAATTTAAAAAATGGTTATTTTTTTACTTCAGTTCCCTTTAACAATTCAAGTGTGTGTGTGTCATAGTTCCCGGATGATATAGTCACGTACAAGAAGCCTGCATAAGAACGTGGGTTTGTCGCGCGCTGAGAGCACGAAATCGCTGAAAGGATCGATTTTTAAGTAACAATGATAATACATTCAGTTG